TTTTTCTGGTTGTCGCCCCTGGTTTTGTTTTATCGCTACGCCCCTGTTATCACAATGATATATACTGTATGTATTCTATGTAGTAGTGTTGTATATTATTCAGCAGCGCACTCAGACCATCGTTATACCGTTCACTTACATTTCGCCCTCACCGCTCAGGCGCGGCGGTGCTCTTCGTTTTTCTTTCTTTTTTTCGGCTAACTCTGACTTCCTCGCGCGCTTCTTTGGTTCTTTTCCGCCCTTCTTTCCCTTCTCTCTTCGGCTTTTTTCGCAATTGCTGTCTGCGTATACTACTTTCTCTTCTACACTGCGTACTATTAATACTGTCGTTACGATACTTACTTTCCTCCTTCGTGTCTCTCCCCCTCGCCCTTCTTCCGGTCTCCATAATTCGTCCTTATATTTCTTCCTTCCGCATCTCCAAGATTTTTGTTCGAGTTCCCTCGGGGTTCATACGCGTCGCACGATTCTTGGATCGTTGTAATCATCATTACGTTAAAGTGGCACACTTGTATTTATAAATTTTTGTTTGTTTTATTAATGTTGGCTCTGACTGGTATTTTACATTTTTGGTATTTATAAAATAAAATAAGTTTACTTTGAGAAGCGAATCAAAAAGACGAATGTATATAAAACGTAATTGAAAAAAGGAAAATATATTGAAATATAAATTAAAATGGAAAATCGACTTAACTTGAGAACAATTTTTTTAAATAATATTAAAAGAGAGATGCGGATATTAATTATATCTACTTTATAGAAAAAAGCTTTTATAAAGCATAATATAATTTATAAATTTTAATTTGAATAATCACAAAAAGGTCAAGTGATTTTGCTAATTAATTTAAAAATTTTTTGATGCTAATAAAATATCTTTTAATATCATATTGAATTTTTCCCTAGATATTCAGATAATCAGATAAATTATCTAATTAAATTAATTAAGGAAATAAAATAGTTGAATAAATAATTAAATAAATTTGACGATTGAAATCATTTATTAGTCATACGGGACCTACGTATAGAATCAACCGTGATTGCTGTTAATATCCTGATTGCGGCTGATTTATTACGGTAGTGAAGGATTTTACGCGATCTTGAATAAGAATCGTACGACGCAAAGGTACGAACCTTTACAAGAAACAGAGGAAGACAGAACAAGCGGACAACAGACGTGATCGAGATTTCACGACACGCGTGTCACTGCATCCGCGTCGCATCCCTCGGACAGTCAATACGGATTACGTGTGTAATCGTAATTTTACACACATCACACGACGCATTTCGCGGTCCTTCATCTTCGCGATTTCCCTCCGCCGTTGAGATAAAGGCCGGAGCAGCACGGTAAGACGCAAAGCGAACAGCCGCGAATCCGACCTCCGCTTTTTAGCCGAAAGCGTGTGCCGTCACCGGTCAAATCGGACACCCGCTATAATCCGTGTTACAACAATATCGCTTACACATACTGTTAGAGAATGAGTATACTCCTAGGCGCGTCTATAGAGCTGTCTTTTAGACAAACTCGTGTCCACTGTATATACTATAGTTAAACTCGTGGACACTGCAGGGTGTCTCGAAACTCCTTTTTAATCACTTACTAATTACTTGCATTTATCCGGCAATCTTTCAGTCTTTTAAAACTGACAAATTAATGACGGATATCCTTATTGGTTTAGTTTATAGTAATGATCTCAATTTATTAAAATGCACAAATTTTGCCTCTTAAATATATCCACGAAAATGATGAGGGAAAGACTTCCTCGCATTTACCCGAGATGCAAATTGCAGCCTCAAAGCATTGCACCAGAAAATTTATCTGCAACAGCGAGTGTCATTAACATCCAAAGTAGGATGTTGTAGATTTTATTCGTAGTTAGACGAGAGTACTTTCGGGACACCCTGTACACTTACCTGAATTCCACCAAGTGAGGAACCAACTCACCGCACATATCCTTTAAGCACAAAACAGAGCAACTCGCCCGATGCAGGAACGTCGAGCAAGGAAACTCTTCGCTTAACTGCAATTCGCGCTTTCGTTGCACTGCACTTTGTGCAAAGTCCGGGGACTCTATCGAGCGGATGTTTTCCCTTTCAGAAACAAACCCTACGTCATTTGGCACTCAAGAAACATTGCACTTTTCGTTATCTTTTATTCCAAGAGTAGAGAAAAAAATGTAAGGTCAATATATTTGTAGAATATTATTAAAAAAAAAGACGATATTTAATTCACGAAGTAATCCGAATCACATCGTTAATAGTAAGAAACTCTCATTTTTTCATAATATACTAAAAAATACGTCTATTGGTTCAATAAAGTATACCTTGTTGATTTTATGTTTTTCTTATTTTCTATAATTACAAAATTTAACGAGCATCTCGCGGAGTAATGTAAAACGAAGTAGATAATTATTTCAATCTCTCTATTCTTCCTAATATATTTGGCTACATTGTTATGCGAGATTCCAAATAAATGATATCTCATTCATGCACCATGAAGATAATAGATTCTTCGACTCCCGCTCGATCGAACTTCCGAATGTTAAAATACCAAATCGAACGCAGACGCTTGAATGGAGAAGGAAAAGGACACCTGCGTTCCTGTGAATGAAAAATAAACCGAAAAAAGGTTAATGAAGAATAATTAAATTTGCAAACGTTTATTAAATTTTTACGCAGATCATCTCATTCTCATTTCTCGTTGAGTCAGTTTTGTAATTTGGTGGGCGAACATCGTTGCGAAAACGAGACGTGGGAACGTGACGAACGAAAATTTGGAAGATTAAAAGGGTGCCTTTTTCCTTCGGGCGAGGGTCCTGATGGATCGTCCTTTTAAATCTCTCGAGGAGATTAAATTAAATAGCAAAAGAGGATTGGGCAATGTATCCGCGCTTTCGTTTGCCCCTTTAGCCGATGGCCGCTTGAACACATTAGGATGTTATGTAACAAAGATTTCCCCCAAGTTCTGAGCTGCTTAAAGCTGTACGTGTCGAGTTTTAACTCTTGGCGGCGACTATCGTTTTATGTATAATTACTTTGAATATCTATATGCATTATTTATTCCAATGGAAGAATACATGATATATGAATTAATTCTAAAATTGACATAAAAGTGAATTGGCACAATTAAAATTAAATCTGAAGAAATCACTAATTATGAAAATATTAAATATAAGAAAATCGAGATTGACGTAAGACGAGCGTAAGGTCGAAATTTGCACCGCAAAGGGCTAAAGCTTTTGTTTTTCTTATTTTACAGCGGCTTAATTATATCACGTAGAATACTTTTTGCTAATAGGAAATGTCGTAGACATTCCTCCTCTAGATCGAATTTAGTTTAGTTCGCTTTTGTAGAGCGTTCGCTATGGCTTCTAATTAGAGGTAACGATTTTTCTCGCGTGGTTGCCCTTTCCCCTTCGAGTCTCCGCGAGCGAGAATTATTTTATTGCCGACCAACTAATATTGCATTCTTGTACAACAAAACAGAGCAACTGGACCGAATTGAGGAGGGCATGGACCAAATTAATGCCGACATGAAAGAAGCGGAGAAGAACCTTACCGGAATGGAAAAGTGCTGCGGCCTTTGTGTCCTTCCTTGTAACAAGTACGATATAATTATTTTAGCATCTCCTGTCTCACTTCCTTTTGCACTGTCGCTTCTCTTCCTTTACAAAAAATTTAAAAAAATGCCCCGCATATTTTACCACCTTGTTAACTTTACTTATTAATAAGCCGTGCGATGAGATCACACGTGTGCTAAAAGATAAATTTAACGCGGCTTTCACATTTAAGAGATTAATTTAAAAGATGGACAGAGTAAAATTGAAGGTATATTGATTATGAAATATTAAGAATTATACTTAGTGGACCATAATTAACTTGGAAAATAGGAATACATCCTGAACTTTATATTGGAATTGAATAATGAGAAAATCGTATAGTGCAATTTTTTCGTAGCAAACAACAGACTATTTACCTATGTAGAATCGATTGCAAAATGCAAATTATAATTGGCAACAGAAAAGCGGCAAAAATTGGTAAAATTAAAAATTAATTGAGTTATGTAAATGATATTTCAAAGCCGGCTTTCAAATCGATATTGTCTATTAGTCGTATTAAATTTTTCCTTAAAATAACTTAATCGCGTCGCTCGCGCGACAATCTTGCGCGTGCAGAGGCGCCAGCTTTAAGGAAGATGAGGGCACGTGGAAGGGTAACGACGACGGCAAGGTCGTAAACAATCAACCGCAGCGGGTGATGGACGACCGCAACGGTCTCGGGCCACAGGGCGGCTACATCGCTAAGATTACAAATGACGCGCGCGAAGTGGAAATGGAAGAAAACATGGGCCAAGTGAACACGATGATCGGCAACCTGAGGAACATGGCGATCGATATGGGCAGCGAGCTTGAGAATCAGAATCGGCAAATCGACAGGATCAACCGCAAGGTAAGTCCGAGGCGAAGTAATGGCGAGTGAATGCGCAGCACCGGCGTCCAAACGCTGCACCGCAATCGTCGGTCGATTTGGCATGGCTCTAAAAACCCGGACAGCTCTAAAAACCACGTCCGCGTCCGTCGCACTCGTCGACATACCTACCGCGAGCCTTGGTTGGCAGAGCATTCTGAAAAAACCATCAATCTCAAAAAGGAACAAAAATAAATTACAAGCACTATAATGGCATAAATGTTCAAAAAACATTCTAGAGACATCTATAAATGTTTGAATATCTGAGACATCTCTAAGATAGCTTTTGAACATTAGTGCTGTGTGAGAAAAAGTTTAGAGTTTTTTTACGTTCGCTGAACTCTTGCTCTTAATTTTCAATCTTAACTTTTAATCTTAATTAACTTAATTAATTAAATTAGCAAATTATTCGAAACAAGGCTCGAAAGATTTGCAAGGTAGATTAAAGGACAAAAAGTTTGCTTGATGGAACAAAACTATTAATCGATGCAAAAAGTTTATCGTGCATCTTTTTGACTTGTTCAGTTTGATAGATTGATGAGACATTATTCAAGATGCTTTATGTAAATTTTGTCAAGATGTAGTAGAGCTATCATGTGAGACTTTAGTTCGGTACATCTAAAGTATCAAGCGATAGTCTTCAAAGCGTAATCCAGTATGTCGACGAGATTACTGAATACACAACTCCAATACACACCTGCGAAGAGCGTTATTATTATTATTATTACAATGCAGCGAACATTGAACAAATGGAATTATCCTGAGAAATTATAATTAAAGTAATTCGAATAAGAAACTAAAAGTCCGAATTTTAAAGATTTGAAAAGGCAAATAAAAATTTAAAAATTCTAATATTTGGAAATTATTATTAAACATTTTTATTGCTTGAAAAGCATTCTAAATTTCTGATTACCAATTTAGTTTCCAAATCTTATGATTAAAATTCTTAAAATTCTTAAATCTATAATTCTGTCAATTAGATTTCTTAATTATATCTTAAAAATGGATTTTCAACGATAGAAAAAAATTTATCTATACATATGTGTGTGTGTGTGTGTGTGTGTGTGTGTGTGTGTGTGTGTGTGTGTGTGTGTAAGGCTTGATTTGATATTAATTTTTAATTGCTTGAATTGGAAACGCGTACATGTTCTTACGTGTACAGAATGCAAATTTAATTAGTGATAATTAATGTTATTGAAAGATGATTGATGCGAGGTCACTATTTGCATGTGTGTACTGGGGTACTATAGGATGAGTTGACATATGTCTCGATATAGGTATACGCGAATTTCAATGTCACAATGCACAGGCTCAGAGCGATGCACATCACGTTCGTCGTCGCTTTCGCTTTCTTATATGTCTCTTCCCTTTTCCTTCTTCCTTCCTTCCTTTATCCGTTCTCCTCTTCCTATTCTTATATGTCACATGATCCCAATCCGGACAGGTGTTCGGACGACCGTCATCGCCTTCCGCATTCTCTTCCTCCAAAGATAAAATATTCAAAGAGCAATGCAACATGCACTAAATTTATCTTCCGAAAGCAATTTTTCCACTTTCGATAAGAAACTTTAATCCTAAACGATGTACACGATGTAAATATTTTAAATATTACAGCTATTAATAACAAATTTTAAAAGGCATAGGAGATATTTAAGATATTTAGTATAGCTTTTAAAGAATCTTTTCTCTCTGATTAAATTGTATTTGATTATATCGAACTTTACTTATTAAAAAAATGCAAATTAAACAATGAATTTATAAAGTTCTTATAATTGACGAAACAGACCGCGCTCTTTACGATTAAAGTTTCAACGAGATCGATTTCCAACTTGTAAAAAAATGATTACAAAAACGGGATTCCAATAAACGTTGTACCGCGAGATTGCATGCTTATGCATGTATATCGTATGATTTTAACCACGATCCCTCCCTCCTCTTCCTCCATCATCCTTGTTCCACTTGCTAAAATTTTCCGAGCATCGGGCGCTACTTTTCAATCGTCCTTTCAGCACAGCCTGCCTTCTGTGTTTGTTCTTGTATGAAATTACTGCACCACCCACGCGTCTGATCACGCTTCAGATTTATCTCTCTTTCTCTTTCTATTTTTTCTTCTATCTTTTCTCTCACGAAACTCTTACTGGGGATCATGGTACTTTCTAGTCAAAATAATGACACATATTAAAAAAAAAAAAAAATTCATAAAGTTCTTTGTGAATGCTCAAACAAAATGTAGCGAATACTTATCTAATTATTTTAAAGACGCGATTTTTCTTTTTTCTTTTTTTTTTTTCTTTTTTTTTATAAAACATCTAAGAGTCTTAGATCGATGTCGCACCTAGATTTTTACCATAATCCCTTGTAATAGATCCTAGACAAAGAAGGAATAGAATTTTCTGACTATAGAACGATCCTCGAACAATCAATACGTACTTCACACGTAACGATACTTTAATAATTATCTGTCATTACTTATTGCAACGCTGCTATTGAACTTGATCGATCTCTCTTGTCATATAACTCCCATATTTACCTTGTAATATTTGCATTAATCCGAATTAACCACGCGAATCAATAGTCGATATTCGAATATCAACATTTCCTCTCGAACCTGTTTATTGAGACTAAATTTATCAATCATTGATTAGTTTATTTTTTTTTTTATTCCCTCTTCTACACATTTTTTTTTTCTTATTAATTTGTTTCGTGCTGTTTTTGCGTTATTTTCCATTCAGGCCATGTGTATTATTGAAAATCCACGCATTTATTATATAAGCGCGAAATGTATATTTTAAAATAAATTTGAAATTGAAATTATGTCATCAAAATAAAGAGGCAACTGTACAAAACAATACAAATAAGTTTATTAAAATAATTCATAATCAAAACAAAATACGCGGAATATCGTGGAACAAAACATCTAGAATACATAAATATATCGAAAGGTGTAAAATAAATCAGTTTGACATGTGAAGTACAAAAACAAAATATTAAAAAATTAAAACAAATAAAATGTAATATATACAACAGCAACTAAAATAAAATGAGAAAAACACTTTTGCTGAAGTAAAAATTTAGTCAAATACATATTGGTTTGTAGAATGTAATATAGAATGCAATTTTTATATTATGTTTAAGTTACATATCTAACAAAATTATTTTCAGATCTATATTTGACCAAAATTTTACGCTTCAATAAAAGCTCTTTCTGTGCACCACTAATGTGATAATTACTCTACATATGATAATTGTGTCAATCGATAATATGAAATATTTTATAATAATTTATTTGTTAATTCTCAAAATATGAAACAAAATAGAAGACCTGAATGGAATGTTCAGCGTGAGATAGCATGTTCATCCAAACATCTCAGCTCTTTATTATCTTTTCTTTTATAGTGGAGATTAATCTTTCTTACACCTTTCCTAAAATAATATTATCGATACAGACGACGGGAACGTTGATCGTTTGAGGATCTTTGATCGTATTAAAGGCCATACGATTTGAAATGTAAATTCCAAAAATTCCAAAGCAAAGTGTGCCAGAGGACACATATTTCCATCCCTTGCGTATAATTCACCGTGATAATCGAGCAATCGCGAAAATTCTTGATACGAAGGGAAATAATTATGGTCTTTAATAGGGCGTCAGCGTGGTGGTGTACAATCTCAAATAATCCGCGATTAATTAATTTAAGGATTTGATAAATCCAGGGATAAAACGTAGAGAAGGTAAAACAAACGGGAGATATCAACCGGAGTTTGAATTTTTTACGATTGTCATTTAAATCGGGATTCAATTGATTCCTTCTAAACGTAACACGTCACACAATATATATGCAATATATATATATAGTATTAGTTATTGATCGTACCGCTATACAGTGGCCGGCTGACGATTTTTCACGAACAAGTACGGTGAAGCTTACGGTTCCGATCGAGCGAAGTGTAAAGAGAGTGATCGGAAGGAGAGGGGGGGGGAGAGTTCAACCTCGTGGGAAAGCCACGAGAGATTGTGCACCACTCGCCGATGAACTTAAGCCACATAACCACACATCCACAACCACACACCTCTGTGATCGAAACCCGAACTGATAATCCGCAGGGCGAGTCGAACGAAACGAGGATAGCCGTGGCGAATCAACGTGCGCACGCCCTGCTCAAGTAAAATGCGTCTTCTCTCTGTCTCCACGTATCCGCCTCCTCCGACGCCCCAAGTTGCATATCAAAGAGACGCCGTCT